TTCTCTGTGGGGTTCCCACATCCCTGCAAGAAATGGGACATTCACCCCTAGCCCCACATCCTTTGGGATCTTTGAACATCCCACTGCTCAGGTTGGTGCCTGCTCAGCGCGGGAGGGKTTTTTTTCCTGCAGAAGAAAAAGGAATTCAGTCTCCCTTCAGCAGGCACGGATGAGCACGAGGGTGTAACATTTGCTCCATTTTCTGCAGCAGTGGTGGGATTGATGGGAAAATGAAGAMAGCAATTGAGAAATCTCTGGATGAAAGGCCTGGTGTGTAAAGATGTTTTTGCAGCTGGCACGAAAGGCAGATCCCGGCAGACATCTGGGCACTTCCAGCCCCCCACAGATGGCAGAGAGCTACGTGGAGCTCCAGGTGCTTCTTGGAAACGTGAGCCGGGTGACAGAGCCCGGCCACAAAAGGTGGGGGAAATTCCTCGAACCCAGATCCTCTGGTTAATTTGAGACTCTTGCTCCTCTCCCGAGCCACGAGCTCTGTGTGTGACAGGGCTGTGCTGATCCCTTCAGCAAACCAACCCCGCGGGGTGGCAGCGCTGTGGCTCCGTCCCAACCCTCGCTCTCCAGGGAGAGCGCCCCTTTTGTGTAAAATGATGTCATTTCTTCGCCAGCCTCCCCTCGGGGCGAGCAAACACGGCTGCGTTGCCTTCCCCACGTCGAGGGGATCGTCTTTCACCCCGCGGTGCCCGCGATGAGGAGCGCAGGAATGGAAGCCAAGGCAGATTTATTGTATCACTGGGCTGGCATCTGGAATGTCACCCAGGGCTCTGACATAACTCTGAAACTTGGCACAGCTGGAACATGGGCTGGAACAGGTACTGCTGCTTTTGTGCTTCCCTGTTGTCTTTAGAATAATCGTTGCATTGGTGCAGAAGTCAAACACTTCCCTCTGTTTGCTTTATTTTACGGGCTCTGTCTTTATTTTCTGGTTATTTCATCATTTGCACTCTTCCTGATTTCCTCTGCCCGACACGTCCTCTATGCTGCTATTTTTTGTGGCATGCCCGTACGTACATTTTTCACCTGCTCTGGCCTCTGTGCCCCCTCACTTCATGCCCTCAATCCTCTCCTATGCGGTTTTTTCCCCTCCCATTTATGATTTTTCTCCTGTGTGCATTTTGCACGAGCACAGGGAGGAATTCGCTCTGCTTCTCAGACCAAGGGAATGTCAATCCTCTGCTTGCAGGACTGCACTCATCACCTGTTTTACTTCCAGGAGCCGCTGTGAGCAGAACTGCTGACCCGGGAGCCGTTTTCCTCACTCCCCCTCCCTGCACTTTTCCTTATTTCCCGTTCCTCTCCCCCCCCGCACGTGTTCCTGTGCATGAGACCTCACTCGGGCTGTAATTGCCACCACCTTGCATCTGCCCAAGACAACAGGGCCATAAAAAGCTGAACTGCTCGTGGTAAACAAATAAAACACCCTCCCTTCCCCGGGAAGCTTTCAAGAACCTCTTGCAAAAGGCAACTGCAGCAATTTCGCTTTTTTTTTTTTTTTAATGCTCGCAGGGTTTGCCCGAGATTTGTGATGCCTGGAGCTGCTTTTCCCAGCTGGTCCCAGGGAATTCAAGGTGCCTGGAAGCTGTGATCCATCCTTGCACTTCTCCAGAGGAATTTCCTGCTTCTGCCTGCCACACCACGGGCAAGGTGAAGGGTTTTGACTCCTCCTCGTGCATGCCAGGAGGTGACTCCGCTTCACATGATTCGCATCCTAAAAATGTGCAGATAATGTCGAATTAACGCACCGCATGAACGCCGAAGAGAAATCACTCAGCGCTCGGGCAGATTCATTGCAATAAATGTTAATTGCTCAACATAGCAAAAATCTTTAAATTGATTT